GAAAAATGAAGCCGATGCAAAATCCTGCAGTTCCTCAAGTGTCCACTAGAGGCTGGCTGCAGAGGCACCAGAAGTCACAAACACACCCATTCAAAAAGTCCATTTTTACAGCAGAGATTAACATGTTTACAACCTGGTTCAAAAAACCAAACAGGTCTGATTAGCTATTGTCATCATGGGCACACAAACAGCTCTCAGCCTGTCGTTAGGTTGACTTAAGGTAAGGGTGACTTTCAGTCATCCTAACATCAGGCTGAGAGCTGTTTGTCAGGTGGGTATTAAGCACCCTGACAAACTGCTAAACCACGCCCACCTGTCAATCAGGTCAGCTACGCGTATTATTCTAAATAAATAAAGTTATTTTTAAAATCCACCCCCCTGTACAGCGTGTAAAGATAAAGACATGAGCTAATCAGACCTGTAAAAACTTTTTTGAAAGGGTGTGTATGTGACTTCTGGTGCTTCTGCACTCAGCCTCTTGTGGACCCTTGAGGAACTGCACTTCCACATTGGAAGTTTTGCACTTCCACATTGGCTTTGGCACTTCCACATTGGCTTCATTTTTCAACACTAGAGGTTGCTGCTTGACCCTGACAAAGAAGGAAAATAAAGTTTCATGCCTGAAATGTACCTCCATAAGACCAGCTGTTGTGTGCCACAGGGCTTTAGCTGCAGCTATTGTCAAATCTCTACATTGTCATGTTGGTCATCTGGGAACTGCAGGGCAAAACAGATTGGCCAATCAGCCACATGTTTTTAAGCAGTTAAGGAAAGATTTTATAAGAATGCTTTTTGAATGCATATAGTTGGCTAGGTATTCAGCCCCTGAAGTTGATGACTGAAAACATTTTTTATAATCTTAAAAAAAACGAAACGTTCTTATTAAAATAGGCCTTGAAAAACGACCCCCTCTCAGGGAGGAGAGCCAGCAAGGGGTGCTGTTTTATTTTCTTGTTCTGCTTTCCTCCCTGATGACTCCTGACTGAAGAATATGAAACTTGTGGGAGGTCAGTGATCTGTCATGAAGAGATTAGCCGAGGAGTGATTCATTAGCCTGCATGTCAGTCAGGGCTTTGGTCTGAGAAACACCCAGCAAAACACCGGGAGCTGGGACTGGGATCCCCACCACGAGTCCTACAGAAATAGGACCTGCCTGAATACCAAAGGAACAAAGAAAGCGAGAGGTTACAGCATATTTGTTTGTGAAAGCAAAGTAAGTTTAGAGAAGTGAAAACAGGAAGAAAGAGCTTGCAGTACGTGTTGACTGTGTCCGGAGTTATGTGCATAAATAACACATTCTTTCTTTCTTTCTTTCTTTCTTTCTTTCAGGAAAGAAGTGTACCTACGGAGTCAAGTGCAAGTTCTACCATCCAGAACGAGCCAACCAATCACAGCTGTCTGTGGCCGATGAACTGAGGGCGCTAAGAGACAGAGCCAAGAACCTCTCGCCCAAGCCAAGCCTGCAGGAGTCTCTCTGCCCTGACATGTATCAGCTAGAGCACAGATACTCTTCCTCCACTCCACCGCCTCTGAGCACAGAGGAGCAATACCACAGGGCTTCACCCAGCAGCCATTTTATCTATCAGAGAGACTCAGGCAGCCCGAGATCCCAGTCCAACACGAGCCTCCACCACAGCCCGAGTCCGGATGTGGATGAGGCGTTTGGATCCATGGAGAACTCCATGTCCAGGCTGTACATCCAGGATGCGCTTTACAGCATGGAGCGCCCTCCACACAGCTACAGCAGCGGGGTGGCCAGCTACAGTCATGACGACTACTCCCTCTCAGGGTCACTTGGCGACATTGCGCACAGGCTCTGCATGGACGGTGGAGGTTACTACCCCCATCAGAACGGTTCAGCAACCTGCAGCCAGTGCAGTTGTGGTCACCAGCCTGACATGTCCCAACACCAGCCAGCATGGGGCTCCTGCCCGGCTCTGCCTCCACTTTATAACGGGCAGCACTCAGGCCATTTTTCACAAAAGCAGCACCTTAGACACACCCCAAACAGACAGAGCCACAGCCTGCCGAGGGACCCGTGGGTGCAGGACAGCCACTCTGACAGCAGCAGGGCCATGAGCCAGTCCTGCGAGCAGAGGAAAGGCCTGAGGAGCCAGCTGAGCACCCTCTTCCCTCAGCCCATGGTGGAGCACGTCATGACTCTTTACCCACACGTGTCAGACATGTCGGAACTGATTTCTTTGATCCAGCGCCACAGGACGAGCCACATCTCCTTCTAGATCACAAAGACTTGCTTTACGACTCACACTGAGCTCGCGTCACAGTTCTCAATCCAGAAGCAACGTGGAAACATGGAACTATGAATTCTGTGTAATTATGACTCGTACTTTAGGACAACTATCACAAGACACACATCATGCACTCCTGAAGGTTTCTAGATAGTTTCAGGACAGGCTGCCCCTGAGGTCTCCCTGAGATGTACATATATATACAGTATGCTCGTCACAAAGGGAGACTTTCCTGGTTAGACCAAGGGGGGTCTCAGGAGGTCAAAAGGTCAGGATGTAAAAAGGACAACACAGAAATGGCTGACATAGAGTCCAACACTGTGCTGAAAGTTTTTACCTTTATATCAATGCTACATGTTATTGTACAATCAAATGTGTGCTTACAAAAATGCATGTGAACGTTCCTGAATATTACTTGCTGCAGAGGCTGGCAGGAAAAATCCCGGGCAAATTCAGGGGGGGAAACTGCAGCTGTTTGTGTTCACACTTGCAGCTAAACACGATTTTCAGGGAATTTGGTAAATGTGTGAAAACACCAACTGTGACGTGGAACAAATTCTCCAAGCTTCCACTTTTTTTTTGGCATTAACAAGCGACTTTATCTGATGAAGTGTTCAAAATGTAGCTGACTGAATGTTGTCTCATGTATTAAAGTGCAATGCACTACTCGACAAACTTGGCTACTTATTGTAGCGTTGACAAAGTTTTATTAAAGCAGCACGTGTTGTTTTCTCATAATGCCTCAAAGTGAGGAACACTATTACTGGTCTGTACTTCTGTAAAGAACATCTCCGACTTGTTTTTCATCAAATTTAAGAGGCCTGTGTTTTTGCTGAGCCTGTGAAATAAAAGCATTTAAAAAATCTGAGTCACTGTGGATACTTGTCTGAAGGGAACTTGTGATTCCCACACACACACACACACACGTGCACACACACACACACACACACACACGCACACACTAATGTGTTTAAATACCAAATGTATTGAAAAGAAGCAACAGTACATCCCTTTAAAACATTGCTCAATATGAGCCTCTTCAACCTTTAAACTCATTCAGTGTGCAGTTTTTTATGGCTTATTGTGTTGCTTTTGTTTACAACTTAAAGGACCAATCAGTAAGATATGTAGTCAATAAAATGATGTAACATGACCCTACTCTATCATCAGACCATACAGTTGCCCCAGGTTTAAAAAGCTCAATAAAGTGTTCTTAAAGATAGACGGAGGAGGGAGGAAGTTGTGTCATCATTAAGGGACCAATTTGTAAATGGTAAATGGACTTGAGCTTGTATATTTCTTTCCTAGTCTTCTGACTACTCAAAGCTCTTTTACACAACAGGTCACACCCTGATGGTAGAGGCTGCTGTGTAGTGAGACCATCAGAAGTAACTAATCACATTCATACGCTACAGACGAAGCAGTGGGATCAATTCGAGGTTAAGTGTTTTTCCCAAGGACACATCAGACATATTGCTGCAAGAGCTGGGGATTGAACCTTCGACCTTCCGGTTGAGGGTTAGGGTTAGAGAGGACGACTCTACCAACTGTGGCACAGCTGCCCCTCTTTGAGATATCTAGTGACTGAAATGATAAAGGTACCTTACTATATGATCAGACATTAAGGAAACATGCAAAGTTGAAGTGCTGGCTTCTCTGACAACAATGCAGCAGCCAGTATGTCCTCCTTCTAACTTTAGATTCTGGTCCTGAATGATCTGGATTTGTTTGGACCAGAGAAGGTAGGTGGTTTTAAGGCACCCCCACACGGCCGTTTTGGATGCCCCTCAGTTTACCAGATATGAGAGCAGTTATCAGGTCAACAGGTGTTGCAGTGATGGAAGTGGGCAAGAGAAGTGGTTCAGATAGAAGTGATTGTACCCGACCTAAAAAGCCTCTGCATGTTTCTAATAAGCTCCACGAGCAGAAACGTGCTCAAACTAGGATCAATATTGGAGATGCTTTTGAAAAATGGAGAGAGGTTAGAACACAGAAAGGTTTACAGACCCATGCAGAGCTGGATAAACACTGAAGCTACAGTGTCCGAGAAACAGCAACCAGCGTGAGCATCGACTCTAGAGAGGAGGGGGCTGGGGGGGGGGAAAGACAGCTCTCTGCAATGTTTTGAACTACGACTGCAGTACCTCATGTGGTGTTTAAGCAAGAATATAAATCTGGGCTATATGTTACCAGATGACAAAATTCCTCATTGTAAACATCAAATGTCAGATTTTGACATTTTTGCAGTCGGCCCAAAAGCTGAGAACATCAGCAACATCTGCAGGCTTTTTAACAAACTCAGAAATCAGGGAAACAAAATTAACAAACCATCCTTTAACTTCATGACAGCAGCAGTTTTCCTGTCGTCCCATTAACCACATTATTAGAGTCTACATGTGTAAACACTTGTGATAAACGTCAAACAGTCCGTCTCTACTTCTCCCTATACAAGTCTAGTGTGCCATCTAGTGGATGGTCTGTTAACAAAGGGGGGTGGTAGAGGAGCTCACAGCAGAACAGGAGACAGGATTTCTTACCAGCTGCTTGGTGGTAATCAGCGGGACACTTCTTGATCCTGCTGCATGTGCTTCTGTTCCCCTCACCGTGATGCTCGGTGGATAAATAAACTCTGATTACCTGATGGGCTCATGCCCCCCTGTGCTGGATCAGATCTACCGTTTCCTCTGGTTTGCCACGACGGTAACATTTGAGTATTTGCACAACAGTACGATAGAGACGAACAAAAACAAATCAGAATAGATTTTTTTTTATTATTTTTACAAATAACTTATCTGTTACAAAGACAGTTTTCCCAGCTAAAATCAAAAAAACACTTTAGATCCAAATTATTTTTTTCCTTTGAATAAAACATAATAAACTGCCTCTTCACACCGACGTGCTGATGACGCTGAAAACGGGGATCTTTGGTTTGAAGAGAGGAAGAGAGAAAGTTTGGCGTAAGTGCTTAAGAGATGATAATTCATCTTATACTTTGAAACGGGTCGGAAACAAGAGTTAGGTTTCGGGGGGGGTTAAAAATAAAAAAAAGGCACTTGGGTGTGACAGAGGTGATAATCAATACAAATTCAATCGTTCTTAAGGCATTGACGCAAGGCAGCATTTCACAAATGTGGAAAAAAAAAAACAAAGAAAAGAAAGTAACTACTCCACAGTTAAAGAAAGTACATGACAATAGGTAAACTTTAGAAACACCCTCATCAGTTAAAGCTTAGGAGGATGAAACCAGCCAAATACAAATAGAAGAGTATACAAGGTGGACAGTCATGTTGTGTTTGTTTCACTGACGTAACAGTTCGGACCTGCTCTACTCAAAGGCAAGGGACCCATATGATTATTTTCCTCTTTGGTACCTCACAGAAGGCGGTTCAGGTGCTCAGCGACAATCTGCAGCAGCGTCCTGATTGTCCTGATGAAGCAGAGTCTCTTTGCACGGAGGTGAAGTTGTCCCCAAACATTTGAAACCTACATTCCAGTTGTCAGATACGACGGCAGTTTGTAATTTACTTTTTTTCTTTGCATGACGGTCCTGACATGTTTGGCACCCAGAACAAAACAAGACTCTTGCGTGGCCTTGCCGCCTCTTCTGCAGATCGTACACACTGACCAGACCGTGCAGATGTAGCTTCATGATGACTGCAAAGTTCTCCGCTCCTCTCCTTCTGCAAGGCTTCAACTCTCACAGAAATCAAGTAAAAAGCTTTTTTTTTTCCTTTCTTTTTTTTCTTTTTTTAAAGGGAGCACGGTGCTTATTCGTTTCGAAAGAGGAAAACAAAACAAGAAAAAAAAAAAGTTAATAAAGTCTATAAAGCTATACTTACAGAAATACAAGTGATTCATAGTGTGAGGAAAAAAAGGCTTTCAGGGCACGGTCTAAAAGTATGTACAGTAAAAAGCTCCAGGGGAGTTTCTGCCTCCGTGCACTGTACACAAAGCATGCAACTTAAGTTTCTTTTTTTTCGTTTACTCGTGATCGGAGAGACAGGAAAAGGGAGGGGGAGGACATGAGGCACGTTTGAGAGGCAGCGACACTGCCAGTTCCCCCTTTGGCATCCTGTTAAAACAGCAAACAAACTTGAAGAGTCCACGATTAGTCTGTTAGTTTTCCCTTCAGATGGCGAGCAGTGGCTGAACACAGTTCCCAATTCCAAAGTCATGCCACCACACAGGAAGAAAAAAAACAACATTTAAATCAGCAAAAGGCACCTGTGTGTGTGTGTGTGTGTGTGTGTGTGTGTGTGTGTGTGTGTGTGTGTGTGTGTGTGTGTGTGTGTGTGTGTGTGTGTGTGTATGTTTGTGTGTGTCTCTGTGTGCCGTCAAACTGCAAGGCCACACTCATAATACTGGAAGTGGGAGCAGCGAGGTATCACCAGGGGTTAAAAAAAACAGTCACCCATCAAGCAGAAAAGAGGAGAGGTGACCCCACACAATCCAAGTCTCTAAGGTGAGGTATCATCCGACTCTGCCAGCCTGATTTAAAAAAAACACGAGCTGTAAACACCATCCAGTTGAGCCTTCAGTGGACGGCGTTCTACAAACCTTAGAGAGGACGAGAAGAAGAAAAACAAAAACCGAGAAGACCACGCCCAACTTGAGTTTTCATACAACAAGACGGGAAACAAAGGAACAGAGAGAGGACCCTCCATTCTGCTGAGTCTGCTTGGAGATGGGCGGTCAAAGACGGGGGGGGGGGCGGTCGTTTTCCCAGGCGCCTCGCAGGCTCAGAAGTGCCGCGGGAACTCGCACTGTTCACAGCGGTTGAGGGCGGGATGGTTGAGGAAGGTGCAGGCCGTGCAGCTCCACTGCGTCCCCTCGTCCTCCTCCTGGCCCACGTCTGAAGAGGAGAAGAAGAAGGAGGTCAGTACAGAGGAGGAGAAGTGAGGAAAACATGGACAGCTAAATGTTTTCTACAGAGCTGGCATTGGGGGAGTCAGGAGTGTGTTCACGTGCAGATCTATGAAAACGTAGAAACACTGAATGTTTTGCAAAGCATTCACACACTGATCTGAGAGTCGCCATGGAAACATCTGACCCTGGATCGCAGAGCTGCTGTCTCCATCACCTACATCTACTACAACATCAGTGGTGCTGGAGTTATTTTTTAATTGCTTTAGACCTCAATACTTAAAGATAGAGTCAGAAGCTTTTATCTAAAGTATAAAATATAGACTTATACTAAAGTAGAGGTGCTCCATCATCACCTGGTGACTGTGTCTGCAGAGACTCTGTCCTCTGACTGGATTTTAATGTTCTGGTTTATTTGGTTGACGCGGGACGTTTCTGGGCGGGGAGCTGGTGTGTTTCCTCTCAGCCAATGACAACACAGCAGGTGAGTTTAGGAGTGGATACAATTCAGTGATTAGACGCGATTCAAACCGGCGAATATGACGGACGCAGACGAAGCGGCAAAAAAAAGTGAAAGTGTGAAATGAAGAACGAGGAGCATCTTGTGAAGTTTTACTTTAGTAAAAGTTTCACAAATAAGTAATGACTTAATCTTTTGTCAGGTCAGCAGCATCACATTGTCATGAGTATCAGGACCCTGAAAAGATACGGTAAGTAACTGGAGCTTTTCTAAACTGTCTCTTGAGGGTTCCCTTTTCATCCTCTTCTCATACGACCTTTCAGAATAAACATTTTAACCATAGCCTTATTTAAATTCACTTACCAATTCAATGTCACACATTAACGATTTGAAATCTCAAAATGTTAGAACGTTTTTCTTGAACGTGGCTCTAATACTCAAAGGAATCCTTTTAGACATCACGTTAAATTTTTGGTGGAGAACTTTCATGTTCATTAAATTCAGTCAAGAATTCAAAGACAACGATTGAAAGACCGGCTACGATAAGACGGATAAACTGATCAAAATTCAAAAGAGAGCTTTTAAATTTTATTAAAAAAAACGTGAACCTGCACAGATCTGTTAGTTTAATCTTTTTTTTTCTTTAATTGTATTTCATTTTGTGTTTCATCCTGACTTTAGCTTTAGCAATGTTAACATGTGTTTTCCATGCTAATAAAGTCCAATTCAATTGAATTAAAAAGGTTTGGATTTCAAATCTGAAAACCAGAATGTTAAAACAATAAGAGTTTTTAAATTGAAAGACATAAGATGGTTGATGACAAAGGGAGGAGGAGGAAGAAGAGGAGGTGGAGGAAGAGGAGGAGGAGGAGGTGGAGGAAGAGGAGGAGGAGGAGGAGGAGTGACAGATAAGGAGGAGCACAGGGATACCAACCAAGAGGGGGAGTAGGGGAAGGAGTAGAAGGAGGCTCCATCATGAGCTCAGAGGTCACATTATATCTGCTTCCTCTCCTGTCTGGTCACGACATGATGATGGAGCAGAGCAGAGATTGATGGATGGAAGAATGGAAGAGAAAGAAGATAATTGGATGGATGGATGGACACCAAACAGGAAGGAAGAGAAGGGCAGAAAGCAGGAAATCACTCGTTAGTTAGAAGCAGTGTTAAAGCGTCTCGGGCAGATTTGTAATAGAATACAAGTTACAACTGACTACCAATATCCACAAAGTTCATGTGCAACTACGACTTAAGTCAATGTTCCTGTTTCCACAGCACGTTCTGTCTCAAATTTGATCTCGCTCCAGAATCAGACCCAGTGGGGCAGGGCATATGGCGTCAGACTGAACCCAGATAGCATGGACTATGTGTAAATTGCGGGTAAGAATGTTTTTGTTTAAGAGGCTGGCAATTGGTCGGTTTCACCCATTCTGATTCTTGTGATTGGGGAGTAGCAGCAGAGGGAATCACTCCCATGATTCCCCAGCAGCCTCGACATCATCTTTTGTAATTGTTTTGATTGAGCGCCCCCTGGTGGTGGAATTGACATGCTGTGGCTTTAACAGTAGTTATGAATATGCTTAACACAGTCCTTGAAGTATTATAATCATAAAACAAAACTCAACCCTGACCACAGGCCTGACTTGATTTTAGCTGTTAAAGAAATATATTTATAAAGTGATGTGTGAGTAAAAACTTTAAAGATTGTAGGAAAGTGAAATAAAAAAAACATGCAGACATGTCCATGCAACCAGTTCTAAACTTACCAACGGATAAAGTACCTTTGGGTTTGGGTGGGACAGGACCAAGGAATCCAATGTTGTCATAAAAATTATGGATTGCACTGGGATTAAAGTGTGGTCCTGTAAACAATGGAAAGCCTTCCATGTGATAATGGATATACATTTCTCATGATATACAGTGGGTACGGAAAGTATTCAGACCCCTTTACATTTTTCACTCTGTTTCATTGCAGCCATTTGCTAAAATCAAAAAAGTTCATTTTATTTCTCATTAATGTACACTCAGCACCCCATCTTGACAGAAAAAAAACAGAAATGTAGAAATTTTTGCAAATTTATTAAAAAAGAAAAACTGAAATATCACATGGTCATAAGTATTCAGACCCTTTGCTCAGTATTGAGTAGAAGCACCCTTTTGAGCTAGTACAGCCATGAGTCTTCTTGGGAATGATGCAACAAGTTTTTCACACCTGGATTTGGGGATCCTCTGCCATTCTTCCTTGCAGATCCTCTCCAGTTCTGTCAGGTTGGATGATGAACGTTGGTGGACAGCCATTTTCAGGTCTCTCCAGAGATGCTCAATTGGGTTTAGGTCAGGGCTCTGGCTGGGCCAGTCAAGAGTGGTCACAGAGTTGTTCCGAAGCCACTCCTTTGTTATTTTAGCTGTGTGCTTAGGGTCATTGTCTTGTTGGAAGGTGAACCTTCAGCCCAGTCTGAGGTCCTGAGCACTCTGGAAGAGGTTTTCTTCCAGGATATCTTTGTACTTGGCCGCATTCATCTTTCCTTCAATTGCAACCAGTCGTCCTGTCCCTGCAGCTGAAAAACACCCCCATAGCATGATGCTGCCACCACCATGTTTCACTGTTGGGATTGTATTGGGCAGGTGATGAGCAGTGCCTGGTTTTCTCCACACATACCGCTTAGAATTAAAGCCAAAAAGTTCAATCTTGGTCTCATCAGACCAGAGAATCTTTCTCATAGTCTGGGAATCCTTCATGTGTTTTTTGGCAAACTCTATGCAGGCTTTCATATGTCTTGCACTGAGGAGAGGCTTCCGTCGGGCCACTCTGCCATAAAGCCCCGACTGGTGGAGGGCTGCAGTGATAGTTGACTTTGTGGAACTTTCTCCCATCTCCCTACTGCATCTCTGGAGCTCAGCCACAGTGATCTTTGGGTTCTTCTTTACCTCTCTCACCAAGGCTCTTCTCCCACGATTGCTCAGTTTGGCTGGACGGCCAGGTCTAGGAAGAGTTCTGGTCGTCCCAAACTTTTTCCATTTAATGATTATGGAGGCCACTGTGCTCTTAGGAACCTTGAGTGCTGCAGAAATTATTTTGTAACATTGGCCAGATCTGTGCCTTGCCACAATTCTGTCTCTGAGCTCCTTGGGCAGTTCCTTCGACCTCATGATTCTCATTTGCTCTGACATGCACTGTGAGCTGTAAGGTCTTATATAGACAGGTGTGTGCCTTTCCTAATCAAGTCCAATCAGTTTAATTAAACACAGCTGGACTCCAATGAAGGAGCAGAACCATCTCAAGGAGGATCAGAAGAAATGGACAGCATGTGAGTTAAATATGAGTGTCACAGCAAAGGGTCTGAATACTTATGACCATGTGATATTTCAGTTTTTCTTTTTTAATAAATTTGCAAAAATTTCTACATTTCTGTTTTTTTTCTGTCAAGATGGGGTGCTGAGTGTACATTAATGAGAAATAAAATGAACTTTTTTGATTTTAGCAAATGGCTGCAATGAAACAAAGAGTGAAAAATGTAAAGGGGTCTGAATACTTTCCGTACCCACTGTACATGTATACACTCCAGCTTCACACATTACCATCAATAGAAACAGTACAACAAGCATCACAGTGATGCAATCAGGCAGCAGGAGGAAGCATGTTGACAAAAAAACAGAAATTAGAGCCCGACCGATTAATCGACTGGCCGATATTAATATCTGCAGATATTAGCCTTTTGAGTGACTATTGGTATCGGCTAATTTTATCTCAGATATGCACCGATATTACTTGATATACTCACCAGTCAAACAGCATTTCATTTGAGATTCATTGTATTAGACTAGCAGTTCTCTTTGACCAGCAGTGGAAGCTATATGGATTACAACAAACATTATCACTCTCCAGAGTGGTGATGCACAGTTACTTTCCAGTTGAGTTGTCTTCGCTAAATATCTTTTCCACAAGTGTTTGATAACTGTGTTTGAGGGATCAATGCAATCAATATGTAAATCTTTTTAGGGCTGGGAATCTTTGGGTCTCACGATTCAATTTAGATTCTTGTAGTCACGATTCGATTCAGAATCTATTTTAGTTTCGAAATGATTCTGGATTCATGAGTCGTGATTCATGATTCAAAGTCTATTTTTGAATCAGTTCATACTTCAGGATCAACTCCAGTCATCTGTGAGACTGGCTGAATTTATTGCTGCTCCATCTGGCATTCTACTAGGTTAAGCTAGAGTTAGCATTAGCACTTAGTAGGGAGGGACTGATTAGCCACATTTCTTTTTTTTTTTTTTTAAATCGATTTTTGGAAGTAAAATCTCTTAAGATAAGAATCTCAATTTGTATCTTTACAGATGCATAACCATAAAATATCATTCATCCATTTATTGTATTTACTCTGATGCTGCACTACGTCTCATGAAATGGCCGTGATCTAACGGCATCTTTACACACTGCGCTGGGGTTGAATCCCAGACATTGCGCCTTATCAGCGGACAGTTACAGAGGATATACGAAATGTTGAATTTAAGCTCATCCCTCCTGGACGTAGGTATAACGGAACGTTCCATTTACTTGGATCTCGGAGCTGGGAATGACATCACAAAGTCGGACAAGCTACATGGATGCCTTAAGGAGTCCCTTTGTTTTGTTAGCTAATATCAGGCAATAAAAACATGTGAATATAACATGACAGCATGTCCACAGATAGAACTTGCACGATAATATCGGAGTAATCAATTGAATTATGCAAAAAGTGAACATAGCTGTTAATAAACACAACAGATTCAGTGTAACAGAGTTAGAATGAACCTCTTTTGAATTTCTACAAAATTAATGTGTCTGTCATATTTATGTTACTTTGTTGCTGCCTGGTGGTCTAATAGCGCAACTGTAGGGCTCCTAGCTGGCCACCGTACGTACCTCAGCAAAGGAATCTCTCCTGAGCTGAAGGTGGGTGTGTGTGTTAAGTGCTGCGACCAACATATCTCTGTTTAATGGTTTAAAACTGTTCCAAAAACTTTAGGTAACATGTATTTTGTCCATGAGCCCGTTTAGAATGTACTGTTAGAGTTTCGGACATTTATGTGTAGAAATGTTTATTTTATTTTACGAGTTTCAGTTTGTTTACATACCGAGCTAATGCTAGTTAGCTTACCAGTTAGCTGCTTCCTCGTGGCCGTGATGCTCACGTTAATGCTCTTGTGTGCGTGTTTTTGTGTTATACAGATGTGAGTCCTTGCAGTTGCATATCAATGCTGATTGTGTGCTTTTGTATTATACACCAGGTAGGCATGGTTAAATTAGTTTTACATAAAATGTGAACTGTAAATTCATGTTGTTTGTGTTAATTGTAAAAAGCTATAAAATGCACTTCATTGATGGTTACGTGTTAAAATGAGTTTGGTATGTTTATATACAGATAAAAATTGAAAATGCTCTTATTTGGTACTCAAAGACAAAGTAAAATTCCACTATACGATCACTTGTGCTAAAAATGTATTTAATTGATATGATTTCAGGATGTTATGTAAAAATATTCTCCTGAGCTGAAGATGTGAGTCCTTGCAGTTGCATATCAATGCTGATTGTGTGCTTTTGTATTATACACCAGAATAAAAAAAAAAGGAAAGAGATCCAGAGTGAGAGCAACTCCGGCTGTTGTGGCGTTCTTCCTGCACCACAAACATCTGAGGCAGACACACACCCTCCATAGTCCAGCAGAGAAACACAACCGGTTACATCAGCTTGAACGTTACTGTTGACACGCGCAGCAGCCATTGGATTTTAACCGAGGCTACAGCAGGTTCTCCGAGTCCAAATTCCAATTTCGGAGTTGGAATTTCCGATTTCCAAGATCAAATGGAACGCACCATAAAGTACCATCCTGCAAAACTTAACGATACAAGAATAGCAGCCATCTGTGATATTCTTATCCTTCTTAGCTTTACTTGATTGACGGTATATTCTCGTTTTTATTTCTCTGCTTCTCTCTGATGGGTTACTTTATCTTGTTTTAGAGGTGGCTTATTATCTGAAGTATTGAGCACAGTTTCACTTCATGTCCTGTCCTGTCGTCTGTATGTAAAATGAGGCCGACTCACTCACTGTAAGCCGAATCTATCTACAGAAAAAGTAAGTAACCTCACCTCAACTTTATCTGAGACTGAGCTGAGTGAGAAGCAGAGTTCATTTTGTGAGCAGCCTCATGCTTCCCTTCACCTGCGTATGTTGTTATGCAGTTCGACCTCTAGCGCCAGTTGAGTGCTGCCAAGGGGGCAATAAATCTCTCGTTACCAACCAGCAGCAGGATGCAATTCAGGAAGAGCTGATAGTTAACGGCACAATGGCAGCAAATGACTGCGTGTGCTGAGAGGATGTGAGTGACTGGCCAGACCGACGACCTAATGCTGCAGAGTTTGTGATCCGATCTGACCTCCCCGGCTCAATGACTAACAGTTAACTTTACATTGTAACACGATATAAACACATAGAATAGCAGTTTAAGCATGAACATATTTTAAATGAAATATTAAGAGAGGGTACAGAAACATAATCCTACCTCTTGTTTGAATGAGATCAATTTCTTTGGTGAGACAGTCGATGTCGATCTGCAGTAACCGGTTTTGGCATCGCAACTGCTTCATTTCCTCGATCTGAAAGAGAGTGAGACAGGAAGAGATCAACAGGCGGGCGGGACAGCTGCAGACACAGGCAGATGAGTGGTAGATGGTGTCAGTAGCTTTTTCCTAAATAATAAAAATACAGACTTATACTAAAGTAAAGCTGCTTAATCATCATTTCTGGACCTCCATACATGTGTGGTGGTGACTGTGTCTGCAGAGACTCTGTCCTCTGACTGGATTTTAATGTTCTGGTTTGTTTTGGTTGACTTTCGACATTTTCGGGCGGGGAGCTGGTGTGTATCCTCTCAGCCAATGACAGCACACAGGGGAGTTTAGGACGTGGCTGCGCGGCAAAGAAGAGAAAATATAATCATTGTGAGGAGGAGGAACGCAGAGCAGATAAAGCTTGTTCTAAAACGAGGGTGGTTTCTGCTTTCTGTTGGACAGGCAGGTGACAAACACCGGTGGTTAGCTTGTGCTAGCGTCCGGAAGCTTTTTAGTGTAGATACAAGTAGTAAACGGACACACTATGTCCTGCAGTGAGGGTGCGCTTCTGGAGGCCCAGGAGGAGGGGCCTAGTTTGAATGTAGTGTTTACAAGCTGCAACGAACATTTCTACTGACTCCACATTTGAAGAGGACATATGATCCCCCTTCTCCACCTTTTCAAACAGTCCCCTTCGGTCTAAATGAAACATCTGTGCTGTGCTTTGATCAAAATATAACATGAGTCAAGCACCAGAGGAGGTTTGTGACCCTGTAGAAACCAGCTCTCTCAGAACGCTCCGTTTTGGTGTGTGTGTCTCTTTAAATGTAATGACCCCCCTGAGTTTTCCCCGTAGACATCTCTCCTCTGTAGCGAGAATAAAAATGGCCGACCTGCGCAAAATTTTGTTCTAGGCTGGGGGTGGAGTCCATGGGTGGAGATACCAGGGGAGGGGATTTTTTTTTACCAGAATCCCACTGTGACATCACGAGAGCAAATTTGAAACACAGCATGTTTCTCTGTGTTGTAAGACTTATGCAGACCACAAACAAAGGACTGGATGGATTTATTTCACATTTTGTGGGTCAGTAGACACTCAGGTTACCCATAAAACACTGTTTATTTTTTATTTTTTAAAGATTTATTTTTGGGCTTTTTCGTGCCTTTTAATACAGAGGGAGGACAGTGGATAGAGTCGGAAACCAGGTAGAGAGAGCAGGGAATGACATGCAGAAAGGGGCCATGGGTGGAAGCGAACCCGGGCCTACCGCTCGAGACGAGAGTCTCAACACATGGGACGCACACCCTAACCATTGCACCACCAGCGCCCCCCATAAAACACTGTTGAAGTGGATTTTTCATAATATGTTCCATTTAAGTTTTTTTCCATATTATTTTTCCTTTTGCTATTTCCAATCCTTGAAGGGCCAAGCTGTCAATCAACAGGTTTTATATTCCTATTAATGTATGTATCTATTCCTCTCTTTATGCAGGTGCATTGACCTTGTATTTCTCGACAATCCTACGACTCTGTAGCTCTCAGGCCGTTTTGCTTTCGAGTCAGTGGAGCCGATCTGTTACCGTGTCAGCAGCAGAGCTGGCTCGGCTCAGTAAACAACACTGAAGCAAAGAGCTACTGAGCTCAGCAACAGCAGCCAATTAACCCTCCGCAGCCTCTTTCCCCCGTCCGTAGACTCCGACTGTAATAGCTGACAGAACAGCTGACTCAACAAAGAGCTAAGAGCGGCACTTCATCTGAACCCGAGAGGTTTCAACAAACTCACTGCAGCAAGTGTAACATAAACACAGAGCTATACAGAAAAATAAATATGGAAGGACACGTTCACTTTGTTTGCTTTTCAGCTCCCCTGTTTGAGCATTTTCTCTGCAGGAGCTGCAGAGCCTCACTTACAGAATTAACTGTGAGGTGAATCTGACGTTATGAGTTTGACGTTATAAATCTGACCTAATGAATCGTCCACTGACAGTCTGAAAATATGGCCGGATATCGGAGTAATCACAAACAAAGCCATGATAAATATTGCATAAAAATATAAACCAGTTTTTAAATAATATCCTGCAGCCAGACCCGTTCTTGAAAGGGCCACCCCAGGTACCACCCCAAAATCCAAATCTATACATTTTTGTTTTGAGTCCCTAAAGAATCAGGCTTAGAAGATGTATGTTACCTAATTGTTTAACTTTCAAGTACTCATCATTAGTGGGGATACAAAGGGTGGAAAAAATGCTGTTCATTTGCATGTGTGTGCCCACAAACTGCATGTCACCCCTGCTTAGATCAGTGCCCCAGGTGGGCAACCCCAGTAATGACAGAGAGTCTGGACAAGCCCCTGCCTGCAGCCGTAAAAACCAGTCAAATTTCTCTCTCCAGTACCAAACCAGAAGACGCACCTGTGTAGATGATAAACACGGTGTGGACGGCTGTTACGCGTCTTCACTGTGAGTGAAACTAGAGCTAGATGGTAAGATCTCATAGTTACGTCCAGTGAACCTGTAAATGTTTAAGGTAGAGAGAAAGGATACACCTGCAGATGCGTTTTAGCTTCTTATGCTAACAGATCTCATGTTAGAGCTGAAGTGAAACAAACCACAGGGAGACACAACTTAAATGTTTCCGCAGCGTTTTCTTTTTTGCCTCCAGATAAAACTCTGAAGGAACCTAGTTGTAGTTTAGTAAATAGTGACCCTAAATCTTGGTGTACAATGAACAATTTCAGGCCAATATAGAGCAGATATTTGAGTCGTACAACTCATTTTGAAGTTGGACTAAATTTCAGCCCGAACAAATGGCGTCAGTCGTGCAGTGTTCACTGAGGCAGGACGTCCGATCACAGTGTGAACAGCTGCTCAGTCAGTTTCTGACATGTTTGATATTTTAGTCGTACGCCTGCACACAATCGCACAGTGTATGCAGGCGTGCAGGAGCAGATTCCCTTTTTCCCTCTGATTGTACCTACACAAACTGACAGACAGCGTCTAATATCACCATGGCAACAGCAGGCATTCTTGTTTAATCCGTCTCCCCCTCCTATCAGGAAAGAAATGTTGGCAGGAAATATCTGATTTAGCTGCTAGTTAGCTTGTGTTTATTGGTACGCAGATTGTGGGTGTATATGTCTGTGTGTGTGTGTGTGTGTGTGTGTTGGAGAGAGGGTGTGAGAGCATGTTTTTGTGGGTGTGTATAGCCAAGTTGAGCTGTGCATACGAGACAACTGAAAACAGCCTCCATCTGTTGAAGGTTTGTGTTGAAAATTGTGAATGCTCCATCCTGATTTCACTCTCAGTGTGAGCTCTCGGGTCGTGCCTGACAATCGGGTCGTACAGTGTGAGCATATAAATCGTGAGCTTTGGTATTGCGTTGAAAAACGATTCAGTCGTGTGACTTCTCCACAATTGTGTAGTGTATACTGGGCTTAAAAGACTGTAGGTTTTAAGAAATCAGAATAATTTGCTTTGAAAGTCCCGCTGATGATTACTGTTCTGAAATGTGAATATCAAAATTACTAAATCTAGGGTTGCACGGTCATCTCAGGTTGTAGTTGTAAAAGCCCATTTAACATAACGGCCCCTCATTGGCCCTGAAGAAAAACACATTGGACTTAATGTAGTAAATCAGTGCATGAAGCTTACAGAAGGAATTTGGGAGGCCGAGTTGGATCTCTCTAGCCGTCTCCTAGTCAGGTCGTTCTCCATCTCGTTGACCTCCTCTTTTAGCTTCTCAAGCTTCTTCTTCTTCAGCTCCAGCTCGTGCCACAGCCTGTCCATGCGGGCCTTCTGGTGGACCAACAACGCTGGACCACACACACACACACACACACACACACACACACACACACAGAACATTGTTAGAAATATTCTCCTTGTTGCATTATTCAAACATGACACATAATAAGAGTAAACTTCTTAACAAGTCAGGTGACCAGATCCTGGTTTTAAACATCCAGTTGGGGTTGTCAGGATTACTTTGATCCATAAAATCAGGATCATCCTGATCCCAGTAGATGACTGATTCATTTACAAGAGAGTGGATATTTTAAGGCTTTTTTTATATATATTTTTGCAGTAAAATTGTATTTTGCTTCATTGACAGCGTAGATAAGATAAAAATGAGGGACGTAAAACAATAAATGATTTTTCTTTATGAAATATTTCACCAAAAAGCAACATAATCAAAAGTTATCTAATTCAAAGCAGCTGTGAGGAGCTTTCTGTTTGTGTGGATTTTGGAGCCCCCTGGGGACAAAGTATGTAATGTGAAATCCCTATGAAGGGCTCATATTCTCCTCCTGTTTGAACCAGTTTAAATAAGTTTCAGAGCTCCTCAAAACATGTGTGTGAAGTTTCTTGTTCTAAATCCACTCTGATCCTGTATTTGATCATGTCTATAAACCCCTCTATTTCAGCCCTGCTCAAAACAGACTGTTTCTGTGTCTGTACCTTTAAATATGTAAATGACATGTGTCTGACCACACCCCCTCTTTGGAAGGACTTGGGTGTACTCGGGCTTTCTCACTCCATTTCCTATTGTTTACGGGGAGAAGGCAGACTCAGAGGGCAGAACAAACACCTAGCTGTGGGAGTGTCACCCACCTGGGGGAGGGGTTACTGCCCTTTGTGATGTCATGAAGGGAAAACCTCCAAAATGCCTGTTTGAGCACACATTTTATGAAAAGTGGAGCAGGCAAAAGACGGAGGGGATGAACTTTTCTCATGATTGGGGGGTTTGTAGACAGACTCGGGACACAAATTAGAGTCAGAGAAACATGGTGAAATGTATTTTGCATAATGTGTGACCTTTAAAACTCTAGTAATCCAGATTTAGAGATCCTCAAAAGCCTGTATTTGGATCTAGTTAATCCAGTTTTTCTTTGAACAACAGGGATGAAACATTGAGCTGGATTATGTGATCCTTTTATTCTGGATTAAACCTTTGAACGTCCGGGCCAAGGAGATAATGATAGATTTGAAGATACAACACTGGCTGATGTCTATCTACCAGTCGATCACAATTCCTGGAGCATAAACACCTATGTGTTAAAAGGATTGGCAGGGAAACTACACACGACAAACAAGATTCCTGTACTGTCCGTATATTTGGAAACAGAAAGACCCATCCCGATAAGAACAGCGCTGCAGGCAAACTGTGCTGCAGTGTTTTCATGACTGTGCACATGATCTGCTGCAGCGTGTTGCTCATAACTCATGATTTCTCCCGTATCTGTTGACAGGTCGAAACACCTCCTCCACTGACACTCAATGATAAACAACTCCCTTTCTGTTGCTTATCAAAACACAAAAGTCACTTTTTAAACGTATGGGGTGATAGTCTCTGTGGGAAATGTCGACCTGATGATTACAAACTCATTCTCAGCGGTTTGTTTGATATGAGGGACAAAGTGTGAGAGTATAAAACAGTAAAGAATCTCCACACTGAACTTGTTGTTGATTATATCGAACAGTGGTAAAGTCGGCCTGCTCCCCTACCGAGATATCCAAACAGATGTGGATAAGCTGGAGACGCCTCACAGTTTTCACGCTCTGATGAGAAAAACAAGCTTCTTGTGTTGATTCCTAAAAACTTTGTTACTTTAAGTTCTGAAGTAGACTCATTGAAGTTAATAACTGTTCAAAAAATGATCAAATTATTAAACCCTGTGTGCACCTAGTGATTTTTTCTGAGCGTCAGCATCGTTGTCATTTGTTTTCTATGAGTAGAGAGCGTTTGTAGCAAGAGGCAGCCACCAAGACAAAATGTCCAGCCCAAGTATTTTTTTCCCCAAGCGCTACACCGTTTTTGTGTACAACGCTTCATCCAAGCGCTCCCGAACGCACAGTCAGTGCTTTTCTGCCAGAAAAAAACGCTTGATGAACACAGGGCCTAAGAGGGTTCATATGCTCCCCTGTGGTTTGTGATTTATCCTCATGAATGAAAACAGTTTTAAATCCCTCTTTTTCAAATGCCTGCAGAATCAAAGGATCACGTCTTTCAGCTCCAGGTGTTTTGTTTGATGAAGGGCCGTGCATGACTGATATCGGATTAGGATTTGGCCGCGCATCATAAAGCTATCCACTACTGGTTCCTTATTTTTTTTTAACCTTGAAATAAAACATTTTCATCTGAATTACTTTTTTTAGTGCTTCAAGAACTCACTGCCATTTTTAATTATTGATCAGAAGATAAGTTTGATGATTAGTCCACTGAACAACAAAAAACATCTCAATAATTGTTTTTCTTCAGTGCTGTGTGCTACATCTGTAGAAAAGGTTCAAGAGACTCGATTTACAACATGCTGATGCAGGGGCTTACTGAATAATGATCAGGATCATGGTCCACTTATAGGAGCAGCCCTGGTCATTTCCTGTTTATAATCAGTGTAATTAGGAGAATAATAACACAGGAGCAATATGTAACTCTGACAGCTAACGTCTCCCCCCCGCCCCCTCCTTCCTATAGTTGATGCTCACGCAGGTCACCATGTGGTGGACACTGTAGCTTCAATGTTTATCCAGCTCTGCATGGGTCTGTAAACCTTTCTGTGTTCTAACCTCTCTCCATTTTTCAAAATCATCTCCAACATTGATCCTAGTTTGAGCACGTTTCTGCTCGTGGAGCTTCTTAGAAACATGCAGAGGCTTTTTAGGTCGGGTACAATCACTTCTATCTGAACCACTTCTCTTGTCCGCTTCCATCACTGCAACACCTGTTGACCTGATAACTGCTCTCATATCTGGCAAACCAAGGGGCGTCCAAAACGGCCGTGTGGGGGTGTCTTAAAACTGCCTACCTTCTCTGGTCCAAACAAATCCAGAGCATTCAGGAGCAGAATCTAAAGTTAGAAGGAGGACATACTGGCTGCTGCATTGTTGTCAGAGAAGCCAGCACTTCAACATAGCATGTTTCCTGTCTGATCATATAGTGAGCTCACTTTATCATTTCAGTCACTAGATATCTTACAGATTGATCCTTTAATGTCCCATTATTTGCATAAAAGTACAGAGCGAACTATCCATAAAAAATATCATTAGAAGGCTATGTTATCTTTGCATTCATTGTGCAATCTGTGGAGCATGACATCACTTACACTCCTCTTTACAGCCAGTTTCATTGATTACAGGAGAAGCTTAGCTTGCAAGTGCAACGGCTAATAATGACTGCAAGTTTCAGCAGAGTAGTTGTAGGACACCGGGTCAGAAGGTCAGCATCAGAGACAGCGTGCCCGATGTAAAGCCCCTCTTGTTGGTAGTCACTGCAGTGCAGGAGTCACAGCTGGTGACTCACACGTAATACAGTGAAAAGCCCAAAAAAGGTAAGAGCAGTGTGCTCCGACATGTTTGACTCACACCACAGAATCTGCCAGTCTCAGGGGTCGTCAGAGCAAACACAGCATTTAGTGTGGAGGACTCACACTTCAGTCATCGCAGCGGCCCCTGAACGAGCGAGTCACCTTTGCTTTTATGTAACTCACGGACATGCACAAAGTTAAAGTTGCTACACTAACTGAACACGCAGTGACAGCAAGTACACTCAGTTTTGGTTTAGAACTAAATAGAACAGTCAGAGTTATGGAGAGAGACTCTTAAAATCACACAGTATACTTTAAAGGAAAATTACTTTCTTGGCCGGGCGCAGTGGAAAAAGCATTTCGACCAACTGCTGGCAGCAAAACAACTTCACAATATAAATTATTGGTAAAAGAGGCCCTTATCACTTTGCACTTTTAAGCTACTCCACATGTACTAAACAACCAATAAACATTGAAGCAAACAGCTGCTGTCATGACATTAAACTGTGTTTGACTTTGGATTCACAATTGAAACTCATTTTGGACACTAGTGTGCTTAGTCCAAGCTGTCTGCATTAAAGGAGGATTCTGAGTACATTTAGAGACTGAAGGTACCACGAGCAGTGGTACCCTAAAATATGTAAAAAGGATTAAAAAGTCTCCTTTATCTCTGTGTAGAGTCTGTTATTACTAACTTGAGGTCATGAGAACCGATCTGTGAAAATGTAATCAACATATGCATTTACAGTGCTTGTCTTTTTGTAAAACTCACCTTGTGTGTACGCTGCATCATCAGAGCCCATGCTGAGTCTGCGAGACTCACTCGGCTTCTCCCTGTGCGGAGACAGCGGGTCTGAGAGGTGAAGGGGGTCTGGCTCCACATAGTGGTGGTCTGAGGGTATACTGAGGAGGTTGTTGGGCTCAAATGTAGGGGACACCACCCCGGGGGACACAGCTGGGGGCTTATTGGGGGACACTGTGATTTTAAAAGTGTATTTGGTGTTGGGCTGAGTCACAACCACGCGAGGCGATGATGCTGTGCCTCCTCCTCCCACAGACGCACGGGACTTAGGAGGATGGTGGTGGATGTAGGCAGGGCCCATGCTCACTTGGCCCCCCAGGTTCCTGGCCCCCGAAGGCCCCTGCAAAGGAGTGTTGGCTGAGATGTAGACTGTGGGGGGGTTCCTGCCCCCACTGTCATCACTGGAGGCGTTGGCTGAAATGTAAAACTTTGGCTGGGAGCGGGAGCCGGCTGAGGCCATGACGGCCTCCTCAGAGGGGGTGGTAGCAGCAGTAGGCGGGCTGGCAGAAATGTAAACAGTGGGCTGGCTGCGGCTCAGACCCGGGCATCCAATGGAAAGAGGAGCGGTGGGGACAGTAGCCACACCAGTTGAAGATGAGGAAGAGGAAGGGCAGGATGATGAAGTTGAGGAGGACCGGGGCCCACCGCTGGTCCGCAGCACGGCCGTCGTGGTTGTTGAGTTGCTCCTCTGAGGAGATTCAAGTTTGATCTCTATCTGATTCTTCCGCGGGCCTGTGGAGATGTTCTGAATGTTGTACTGGCTGATGGTGGAGAGGGAGGTGGGCATGACGGAGGAGGAGGAAGATGAAGAAGAGCAGGAGGAGACACCAGAGGAAGAGGCCTGGCTTCCAGTTGGAAGAAAAGACGGCGCCTGGGGGTTTGTGGGGGAGCTGATTGGCATGTAGACATGAGAGGTCTGGTGGCCCTGGGTCTGTGAGGTATGTGAAGAGGAGGCGTGCTGAGGGCCGGACCAGGAGCCGGGGTGTGAGATCTGGTAGATCTGTTGCTGGGGCTGAGAAGTGGGGCTGTACTGGGCCCTGCCTCCCTGCTGCTGGTTCTGCCGGTTGGTACCGGACTGGCTAACGTAGGGCCTGATGTAGATAGAGTTACCCTGTGGACTGCTGAGGCCCGACTGCGGCCCACCATGTATGTGCAAAGATGTGGGGGTGTTGCGGCCTGTCTGGATATTGGGGGCTAGCGTGACGGTGATTGGATTGAAGCGAGGAGTCTGCTGGACACCCATAGTCGGCCCTTTGACTCCCAAAGGGTAGAGTCCAAGGTGCTGTGGAGGCTGCGGTTTGCGTGTGGGCTCCATCACACCAAAAACATTGAGGCTGGAGGGCACCTGCACAGGGGCGGACTGGGGCTCCTGCTGAAAGAAGTCACTGTTGGGGGCCTGGCTCGTCTGGAGGGGCCCGTCACTCAGGCTATGGGCAAGAGTCCGACTGCCGTTCATTCTCAGGCTGTCCCGAACCGGGGCCGCATGCACATTCTGAGACTGCAGGCCCAGGTTAAGCTGGGTCATGTGATTACGGAGTCGGGTGTAGCTGGGGTCGTCGGAAAAGCTGAGGTTTCCTTCTTCACTGTACAGGTAGCCGGGACTGACCTTGGACAAGTATTCACAGCAGGCGTCCAAATTGTTTTTGTTCTGAAAGAAGGAGAGGGAAAGTAAACTCATTATACTATAATAGTTCAGGTGAAAATCTCAAGGTGACGTCTAAAAGGTGAAAAGAAGTCATGGCATTAACAGTAGTTTTTTTTTTTTTTTTTACTTTGAAACACAGGCAGCAGTGGGAAATCAGTTTGAAACATCCTGTTTAAATGTTTAAGAAACATAGGGAATTCATTCTTTTTAACTTTGCCATCTTTTTGAAATATCGTCATGACAACATGACATTGTGTTGTGTAAAACTTTTATATACTATCGTTGGTAGTGGTTGGCCATGATCTATTCATATCAAAATCTAAAGTAGAACTCATTTAATGTAGAGCAGGAGTTAAATAACCTATAAGATAAACAGATATTATGGAAAAAACATTTGGAGATCATCCAAACAATTAGACCACAATTAGTAAATACTGATGAAGACAATTCATATATATTACAGGTGAAACAATCAGATTCCGTCAACACTCATTAAATGAGTATCTATGGTTAGCTTAAAAATAATATCTTCATGTAGCAACCTCCTATATTAAAAAAAGGAAGCCGATGCTGAAGTGCAAAATCCTTCAGTTCCTCGAGTGTCCACTAGAGGGTGACTGCAGAGGCACCAGAAGTCACATAAACACCCATTAAAAAAAGCCTGTTTTTACAGCAGAATTTAACATGTTTACAGTCTGGTTTAAAAAAAACAAACAAGGTCTGATGGGCACAAACTGTTATTGTTAATTTTTTTGACAATCATCCGTTTTAATTTCATGAAAGATAAGAGTTATTCACAATAAAGCACAGCGGTGTAACGGTTCGTCAAGAGGCTTAAAAACTGCCTCAACTCCAACACTTAGCTTGTCGTTAGGTTGACTGAAAGTTAGGGTGAGACAGGATTTTCAGCAGAGACCGCTAGGGATGGGACAGGGGTGCCGCAAGGACCTCCGGGCCCCATGAAAAGATTTCACATTGGGGCCCACCACCACAGCCCAAACTACAAATACATCATCAAATAAATCTGAATTAGATTCTACCACACTTAAAATGAGGCTGTAATAGTTCTCAGTTCTGAGCTAACCTTTATTCTTCTAACACAGCTTTATCCTGTCTCTCACCAGACGTAATTTTTTTTTGTTTTTTAGGTAGAAGTAGCGGACTCATTTTTAATGCTAGCCTGACAACATTGATATCATATGAATTTACAGTTTAAATATCGTTACCAAGTTGACTCTTTTTTCCCGCGATGTAATGTTTTTAATAAAATAGGGTCGTATGAAATCGTACCTATGAAGGGTGATCAGATACATTTATATATGAAACACAAATATCATCCTCTAACAGCTGGTTTAATCTTCACTCTTTCTCAAACTGTGAGGTGTGCTCACCTTTCTGTTTCAAAGCTAGCTGGATTAGCTTAATCCATTCTTAAACTGTGTAGGTTGTACCCACCTTTCTTTTGAAAGAAAGTTGTTGAAAGCTGTTTAAACTTAGATTGCTTTCTTTCTCCTTTCTCTCTTTTGTCTTTTGAACCCCGACTTTGCTTTTTTTTTGGGGGGGGGGATGGTGCTGCAGCCTGTAACATCACTCACTCTCACTCTTGACTCGACTGACTGCTGATAGATCAATCCAGTAGACAGCGTGGGGCAGACTAAACCACTCTGCACATTCGGTAGGGGTGAGAGGGGCCTCCAATCCACATTTCAGAAAGGAATTCTGAATGTTTGTTCATTTATTCAGACAATTTTAGTTATCTTATTGCAGTTATGACTGAGAGAAAAAAACGTAATAAAAGTCTATTTTTATTTCAGACCCAATAAGGGCCCCCCTCCCCACTGGGGCCCTGGGTAGTCAGTCCCACTTTTCTCCCCACTACGATGCTCCTGAGATGGGACTCCAAAGCCCCCTGCAGAACAGATGGGTGACGCCACTCATATTTACAGTCTATGGATATTCCCTAATTTGACTGAGTGTGACTATGTTTCATAACCTGGTGTGACCTGATGTAACATTCAGGCTTAGCAGAAATCAGATTTTCAGGTCTTTGGACTGACTCACCTGTAGAACACACTGGGAGACAACACCCTCTGGGACTTCAGGGAACTTCTGGCGCAGGTCTTGCAAAACCTGAATGTCAATCTGGTGGCTTCCCTGGGCCATTCGTATGTTGCCAGGTGAGGACTGCTTTCTTTTTGTCTTCAGTTCACTTCGGGTGTCAGTTGTGGCAGTAAGCAGCCTTCATCTTGAACATCATCTGAAATCAAACAAAGAAAAGATGGAAAAAAACTTATGAGAAAACAAATTTCTCCCCATATGATCGTACATGTAAGGTGTGTTTTTGGACCAAACAGTTCTGGGGACTTTTTGAAGAGGAACTAGCCAATAGGGAATTCCCTGAGATCAACACATCTTGGGGACTTTTTTCAGTCTGTATTCGCACCGCTGCCACTTTACGATATCAACCGTTAGCTACTTGCTAGAGCAGAGTCACTTACGCAACATTACTGAAAATATGGAGGATGCCGTGGTGGGAGCTCTGTCTTTGTTGTGTGTGATTGGGTTTATGAACACAACAGAGTTTGAAAGGAGATGTGTGAGCTGAGATGAGGCATTTGAGAGAGTAAGAGGATGGACAGCAAAGAGGTATTTGTAGTATTTCCTCCGTTGAGTAAACACTACACCATAATACCTTGACTTCCTTGTTGGTCCATTTGTCCTTTTCTCGGAGCGTTTACTGATTGCTTATCTACTAATGTTTACAGTGGGATTTAAAAATGGTGGTTGCTGGTACTGGATTGGCTGGGAGAGTACCTAAGAAGGAGCGAAAAAAAGTTCCTCTGAGCAGGGTCCTAGGAACTAAAACAGAGGGTTCAAACTGTTCCTAGAACTATAAAAAAAACGAAGTCCTGTGTCTGAAAAATGCCTATACAGTACACATACAGAACGGATTCTGAAAATAGTAATGACCTGGAGAACTCAGTTCAGTGACAAAGAACGAAGCAAGAGGAAAGGAAGGAGCCAATGTGGTCAACTGCAGCTACACTCTACAAGACATCCGTCAGACATTTGAGGTCGACTTTTTTATTATGCCTGGGAGCTTTCAAAACAGGATTTCAGAGATCCTCAATGAGAATAGATGGCATGCAGTCCACAAGCCCTCCTCCCCACAAAGCCCCCTTAATAAAAGAGTAGCAGTGGGAGGAAACCACCTTTGACTGACTGCTGGGAAAAACAGCCTTCCACATTGGCTTATTGAGGACAGAGAGGGGGCGAACCCAAGTCTAGTCTGGAGGCAGATCGCCACGTAAAGATCTGTGAAGTTCCAACATAAGGCACCGCTACAGAACAGTTGATTCCCAAGAATCCCTGCTGACACTGCAGTACAGAGATACTGAGCTCCAGGGCTATACACTGTGTTTGACCCCAACTGTCTCGCACACATGAACATGAGCCACGTTCATTTTATCCTTTTTACTTAATTTACCAAAGAGGAAGTTTGTTCAAAGGCCAGGACAGCTTACTTTCTGAAAATCCTGTAGTTAAAAGATTTGGAGTTAAAGGGGAATGCTGGTGTTTTTAAAACTGGGACTCAGGCCAGGTTCTGGACTGCTTTGACTGGGGGGGGGGGTTAAGTAATGTTGACTGGTCACTTACTGTCCTAAGGCACTCTATAAGTGTTCTTTAGGACTGTATGCTATAACATGCATGGTTTTATGTTTTCTAAATCTAAAGCAATGAGCAACATAAATGCGGTGTTGGAATTGATTTCAGCAATTCAGAAAATCCACATATACAGAGGACGGGGTCTGTATGAATGGGAGCCCAGAAGTGATGACTGAGCGGCATTTATTTTTTACAAGTCTTTTTTTATTATTTTTTAGGAAAAAGCTACTGACTATCTTTAACAGTATTCTTAAGGTGATAAAACATATGAAATTGAGCACAATTTAATCAAAACTGTCTGTGGGAAAACACTGTAGGTTGGTTTGGAGAGTGTGGCTACATAAGCGGCGCTAGTACCGCCAGCCTTTGGTCCTCCCTGAAGCGTAACATCCACATACCGAGCTGAATGTAGTTACGCATTCCTCCGGTGGACATGCCAGTTTAACCAGACAGAACCTAGATACAACTTTATCTCCATTTTCTAGATCAAAATGTTGACAAACCGTGTTGCTCTTACAAGATGCTATCCATTCACTGTGCTTGATTACATCCAGGTAGAAGAGTGAGGACAGTCAGCCCATTAAAGTCTGCATGAAACGCAACTTTGAGAGTATATAACTGCTGTGTTGTGGCGTATTTCCTACTGAAACAGCATAGAATCGATCACAAGTGGAAGGCAACACATGACATTGGAATGCACCCTTTGTTAGCGTCGACAAAGTGTTGTTTTCAGCAATTCAAAAATAAATTACTAATGGTTTAGGAATCATGCATGTCAACGCATTTGATTTTAAACCACATTGTATTTTTTTAGACAAAAAAGTGCTTCAAAATAGTTTTAAAAAACAAATCTTTCCGCCTGGTTTTCCTGCCTCAGACCGTCATTTAGATATTGCGTTACTCCAGATGTTGCTTGTTGAATTCTGCAGGGTTTTTTTTTACAAGCTGATTGGCTGTTGATACAGGTGACTAGCTTGACATTTACAAAAACAGCCATGATTTTACAAGCTGAGTTGCAGAAGGGGCCGTCAGCGCCTCGGCTCAACTCTGAGGCTTGACGCACCATTTTACAATTCTGCAACTTTTCTCTGCAATGTAAAAAAAATAAATAATAAGTTTTCTGTCATATTGAATCTTTGCTCTGATTTGGACTGAAGCTTGCTCAGAGGACCTTGTCTGCATAGCTATGTACTGTGTGGATGTAAAGAATCGGAATCCTCCTGCAGTGTAAAAAAAAACACAAACGCACTGTGATCATAATTAACAATAAAACATAGAATCATAGGGGTTTTTTTGCCGGGGTATTCAGATTTTGCACTTTGAAAGGGTAAAGGGAAAGGTAAAACACTGCTTTTTAATACTGTATTGAAACAACATCTCTGCAAATACAACAGTATTTGTTCTAGAAAACTCACTAAAGCAGGTAAGGCTTTGTTCTCATTGACTACTCGACTCTGGTTAAAAAAAAAAAAAAAAACTTGTCCAGGGATTCCACCTGGCCCACTCTGAGGTACACACTCACTTCTCCAATCATTACCGCAGCGCGTTAAGGGACCACAAACAGAGATGTAGAGCGGATCAGTCATGAGAACATGAAGTGTCAGAGCATGACAGCCATGTCTTGTGTTATCCCACACTATTCTTCTGACCGCATTCTGTCGAAACCTCTTCCTGAGGGAGGTTCACATATGCCATTCAAAACACATGTGACACATGAAGCACACCCTGTTCTGCTCTGTGCAGATCAACAGAGTGAGGAAACAAATGAGGAGTCTTTTTAAAGCAATCTTAAAACATCAGTGAAAGTCAATTTTGAGGACTGAAATAACCTATAACAATTTTAACAGACATTTGATGTGAAGCGTGTGCCTCAGATAACACTGGCCTGTTATTTCCATCAAGAAGACAAAGTATTTCTCTGAGCAGCTGTGCTTCTTTGTGAGCAATGAGGATGTCATAACAGAGAAGTCGTAAATCGGCTTTGCAAAACATCCGTATGTAGCTGATAACAGAAGGAGCTTTTTGGCTAAGGTTAATACTCTGGTGCCAGCTGCAAGGAGACAGACCTGGGCTATTCAGAAACCCCTCTTTGACCCCTGTGTGCAGCAGGAAGGAAACATACTTTTCTCAGAGATTATCAGAATATCACTCTGTGCTACCAAGGTAGATTCAATCACTTTCTAATGTAAAAGGAGGCTTTTGTCTGAAACTCTTTTAAAGCTTTTGTAAGATACGTTTTCACTTTCTCCTCGCTATCAGTGATAAATGTAGCCAGACAAGGATGGAAAACAAACATCATCCACAAACTGGAAGTAGTTTTACAAAAAAAAAAGATTCCTTTAATGGAGACGTTGGTATTATTTTACTTAACACAATGAATTAATTAATTAGAAACAAATAACACATTTCAGTGCCTATATATTGTTTTCCAAAAAAGCAAACATCTAACGAACACCTAAGATTTGATTGTCTTATATGTGATAGTCCTGTACCTGCCAGACAACATATCAGACAATGTATGCCGGTGACAATCTACTACAGACTGTGGAGTAGGGATGTTTTCAGAAGGCTAACTTCCTGGTCAGAACATTCTGTTAAAAGGTGGAGTCAGCAGCAATGTTGGTTGCAGTTTCTAACCAAAACATTCAAACTGGGCCCCTCCTCCTGGTATCATCACCACCAAGAAGAGCACACTCACTGCAAGACGCAGTGTCTACGTTTACTGCTTGTACCTACACTGCAAGTTACCGCACGCTAGCACAAGCTAACCATTTGTGTTTGGCACCTGCCTGTCCAACAGGATGTGGAAGTGGAACAATTCCACATCCACGGGTGAAAACTCACCGAAGGTTCCGCTTGTTTTGGAACGAGATCGAGAACGAGACATCCACGTCCGTCATATTTACAACTCAGACGGGATAGAACCGATCACAACTTAGAAGGCGTGACATAATTGGATCGTTTGCTATGCAAACCAGAGGACAACGTTATGCCATATCTTATATATCTTAGATATTACAAGTTCAGAGCCAATCATTCTGCTACCAGTAAGGCGTCTTCCATCTCCTCCAGTGGATTGAGCAAATTTAGCATACCAAAAATAAAGCCTTCAGAGTTATGCACTTCTTTTGATGTCTGAAACATACTAGGTTTACATGTCCCTGTTTAGTTTACATGCCAAAAGACACCACTACCACACAGAGCCAGAGAACAACAGCCCGCCATTCAGGCTCAGAAGGCCGGGCAGCTCAGCCGTTGTGGGAAAGGAAACTCACTACTTGGCAGCTAACCCAGTTACAGGTCAACAGTGTGGTTGGATTGTTTCCTGGCTTCAAAAACAAAAAGGTCCACACCTCTTAACTGTACGCAATTACAGGCCTGCAGAAGGTCCATGTCAGGGGGTGGCTCTAAGGGGTGCAGATTAGCCCTTGCTGTCCCTGGAGGCACTGGTGGAATAGGGCCCGAGGCAGAGCTGCACTGCCAGCACAGATAGAGACAAAGCTTCTATTGCTGAGGCTGTTATTCACTGTGCCAAAGCATTGACCCACAGCCCCACACTCATTTCTGGAGGTAGCAGGCCTGCCATGCTCC